TTTCCTTGAGGGAGATGGAATTTCAGTAGCATCTTGCATGAGAAGCAGATGTAGGGACATCCCTTCTTACAATTACATCCCACAGGAATCCAACCTGCCAAGTGGAATGCTCTTTTAACAAAGTGGATGGGGAGATACAAAGAAGAGAGGAGAGGTAGAGGAACCTTCATCTTAAACCTTCATCTTAAAATGTGGGGAAGTAAGAGATGCTATCTAGAGTCCATAGAACTAGATGTTTAGTATGTCAACTTAACAAAGAGGAACAATTTATACTGGGTTATACCTTTAATGGGAGGGGAAGGAAAAGGAAATAGGATGATGGAGATGCTAGTAGGCTAAATCTCAAGTACCACAACAGAGTCTGTAAATAATCCCTAAAATTGAAAAAGCAAGAAATAGCACTACATGCATATCATTTAAAGACATGTGAACAAGAGGCAGAAGTAAATCATCTTTATCTTGATAGAAGAGCACAGGAAGAGGGAGGGCTGGGGAATGGCAGTACTTCTGGACTTTCTAACCATGACTTTATTCTACCCTTAATAATGGACAAGGATAAAAAACCAGTAGGGTAAAATAGATTATCTAGGTTCCTGGGAACAACTACTAAGTTCCTAATTTGTGTCACTATATCTGATAAGAATTATCAAATTCAGCTCTGGCTGGTATGGCTCAGTGGACTGAGTTCCAGCCTGAGGACAAAAGGTCGCTGTATTGATTCCCAGTCCAGGCACATTCCTGGGTTGTGGGCCAGGTCCCCAGTTGGGGGTCCAAGAGAGGCAGCCAATTGATGTTTCTCTTGTGCATTAATGTCTCTATCCCTTTTTTTCCCCCTCCTTTCCCCTCTCTGTAAAAAAAATAAAGGAATAAAATCTTTAAAAAAAAGAATTATCAAATTCAGTTCTTGTTTATATAGGGGTCACTTTAGTTTACTATAACACTACTGCAAATTAGAAAGAAATTAGAAGCTTCTATTCCCACATGTACATGTTACTTACCCAAAACTAGCATTTGTGAGCAAGGATCTACTTTAGTCAATATTTTTACAGCAGATCATCAGGGTTTTTCTGATGTAAGCTAAAAATGCTATTACTTCGCAATAAATCAGAAACCGAAATCTAAAGAGGAAATGTGTCCATTTTTTACTTCTTTTGTAACATTTTAGCAGGAGTTCTTAAGCATGCATCACCCTGCTGAATAAAGAACTGTAAACCTGCCAATTTGCTGGGTCTGACCCTCAAACTCCTTGTTCTTTACTTTCTTTTCAAACCTACATCCAACCCATCACCAGTGACCTGTCATCCTTCAAAAGACACCAGAATTTAATGGGAATAAAAGGGAGAAAACTGTACTTGAACAATGATTAAAATAAAAAATTTTTTAATTAAAAAAAAAGACACCAGAATTTGACAATTGTCACTACTCTTACTCCTACTATCCTAATTTGAGCCATCATCATCTCTCATTTGGACCACTGAAATGGCCTGGCAACTGCTTCCACTCCTGTCCAGTACCATCCTCCACATGGCAGACATAGTGATCCTTTATTTTGTTTCATTTATTGAGAGAGAGATGGGGAGAGAGAGAGAGAGAGAGGGAGAGAGAGATTTGTTTTTCCACTTATTCATGCATTATTTGGTTAATTCTTGTGTGTGCTCTGACTGGGGATCAAACCTGCAACCTTAGTGTCTCGGGATCACACTCTAACACAGCAATTTTCAACATTTTTCATCTTGTGGCACTCATAAACTAATTACTAAAATTCTATGACACACCAAAAAATAGGTATAATTTGATTCATTCACACCAGATGATGATTGTTGTGTTGGCTGTTGTCATTTTTTTTTTTTAACCTGACAATCTAAAGGAAAGGAAGTCAGTGCCCCTGGCTAGTCAGGTATTGCATGTTTGAAAAATTCTTGTGGCACACCCTGGTGCCATAGCACACTGATTGAAAATCACTGCTCTAACCAACTGAACTACCCAGCCAGAGCCAGAGTGATCCTTTTGAAATGTAAATCATAGTGATAATTTGTAGAACACTGGCCTATTTGATGTACCCACCCCATCTTATCTTTTACTTCTCCCCCCTCATTCACTCCTCCCCAGCCATGCTGGCCTCCAGGCTCTTCCTAGCCCCTGATGAACATGTTCCTGACCTGTGCCTAGAATGCTTTTCTCCCAGACATCCGATGGGTTGTGCTCTCATTTTACTCAGGCTCTGCACTGTCACCTTATAAATGATGTCTTTCCTAACCATCTGACTTAAGTATGTATTCCTCTCCATCTCTTCAACACCCTCTATCCCCCCATATTATATTACTTAGTTTTTCTCCATAATACTGAACATCACAGTAATGTTACATATATATTTTCAGTATTGTCTGGGTTCTTTTTTTTTTTTTTTTTCATTAGAATATAAGCTCTAGAATAGGAAGTCAGAGGCTTAGGAACTTTTTTTTCACTGCTGTATCCTCAGTGCCTTTAAACAGTGTCTGGCGTGTAACAGATGATTAATAAGTTCTGCTAAATAACAGACTTAATGTGATACTACTGGTAGATAACATGTCTTTAGAACAATGTTTCCCCAAATGTGAGACCCCTTTATGCAGATGATTTTTAAACAGTAAAAAGGTATGCATTAATAACACTGAATCAAGTGAAGAGAATTTTGAAGATTCTTGTTTTAATCCTTATTTTGTCGAGGTCTCATTTAGTGCAAGTTTGTCCCTAATATTTGATCATTTATCCCTTTGAATAGAGAATGGGCCTTATATTTAGAGACTACAAAGAGCCTTGTGTAGGGAACAGTACTTGGTTAGAATTTAATAACCTTGTTTTGTTTTTATTGTACTTATTTTTAAGGGTAACATCTATTTCAATTATGTGCCTGTCAACATGTTAATCTCATTTAAATCTTGCAATAACTCTTATGAGCAAAGTAGCATTTTACATGAGGAAAAATATGCAGAGGAGTTTCCCATGAGGCCAAAGTTTCCTTTGAGACAAAAATTCATATACCATAAAATTCACCATTTGAAATAGTTTAAAATGTACAATTCAGTGTTTCTTAGTCTATTCACAATTTTGTGGAACACCACTACTATCTAATTCCAAAATGTTCTCATCACACATACACACAAAAAAACCCCATACCCTTTATCTGTCATCCCCAATCTCCTCAATCTCCCTGGGCCTAAGCAACCACTAATCTACTTTGTCTCTATAGTTTTACTTACTCTGGATATTTCATACAAATGGAAAATGTGTGTGTGTGTGTGTATATATATATATATATATATATATATATATATTTCCATATATATGATCTTTTTGGTCTAGCTTTTTTTACTTAGAGTAATATTTTCAAGGTTCATCCATGTTGCAGCATGTATCATTCTTTTCCCTTTTTATCACCTATTAACATTGCATGCCATGGATAGATCACATTTGCTTATTGATTCATTCACCAACGGACATTTAGGTTGACTCTACTTTGGAACTACTATGAAAAATTCTGTTGGACATATTCTTGTATAAATTTTTGTTTAAACATGTTTTCAATTCTCTTGGATATATACCTAAGTAAAATTGCTGTGTCATGTGGCAGTTCCATGTTTAACTTCTTGAGGAAAGGCCAAATTGTTTTCCAAAGTGGCTGTACCATTTTTAAAGCATTCCACAAGCAATGTATAAATGCTCCATCACTCCACATCCTCACTGGAACTTGGAATTGTCTGTTGTTTTTTTTTAATTTAGCCACTCAAATACCTATTTTATTGTGGTTTTAATTTGTATTTCCCTAATGAATAGTGATGTTGAGCCTCTTTTCATGTGATTATTGGCCATGTGTGTATCTTCTTTGGAGAACTAGTCAAGTCTTCAACCATTTTTAAATTGGGTTATCTTTCTGTTGTTGAGCTTTAAGTTTTCTTTCTAAAATAACTTGTAAATAATAACTTTCTAAAATAACTTTAAAATAAGATATTTTTAAAATATTAAGTAAACAATAGTGCAATTGGGCAAAAATAGTGAAGGCAATTTTTGTAGTCCCCCCTTTCCCACAGTGGATATGTTTCAAGACTCTAGTATTTGCATGAAACCACAGACAGCACCAAATCCTATATACACTATGTATTTTCATATGCATGTGTACCCATGATAAAGTTTAATTTTTGAATTAGGCACAGTAAGAGATTAACAGTAACCAATAATAAAATATAACAATTATAACAATATACTGTAATAAAATATCTGAATGTGGTCCCTCTCAAGACATCTCATTGTATTGTATGCATAGTGTAGATACCTTAGACAAAAGAATGTTTCATATCCTGGGCCAGTCAGAGCAAGAGCACAAGATTTCATCATGCTACTTAGAACAGCATGCAACTTAAAACTTATTTTCTGTTTATTTCTGGAATTGTCCACATAATATTGTCAGACCAGGGTTGATGCAAGGGGACTAAAACTGTGGAAAACAAAACCATGAATAAGTGTGTGTGTTGGGGGTAGGGTGGAGGGGCACTGCTGTACGTAGTTACGACTCAGGGGCTACTTTGAGCAACACTAACTCAGATGTTAAGAGCAAGAATGCTGGTCCCACCATCCAAATTCAAATTCCAGCCCTGCCTGGAGAGTGCTGTGCCTTCTCAAGATATTCAGTCAAGATATTTAACCTCTTTGAGAAAATGGGAATGGCCTGGCCACATCAAGGAGCTGTTGAACTGACGAAACGAGGCACGTGAAGCACTTGGTGCTTTGCGAGGCTAAGCACTATGTAAATGCTAGCCATCACCATGACACCGACGAAGCCCGCAACTTTGCAGGTACGGCGTGCAGAGGATACCGCCCCCAATTGCAAGGGCTGATTAACCATATTCGCTGCCATCATGCACAGACCTTTACGCTTAAGTTCCTGTCTCTACCAGCAAGTGCCAGCACCCCCCTAGCTCGGAGCCTCTGTGACAGCACCACCTGACTTCCGTTTCCGGGGCTGTCTAGGCGGCTTCCGTCTGCGTGACCAGAACGCGTAGGGCCCACGGCGTGCTAGCGCTGGAAGGGTCTGTGCTGCCAGCAGGTAACCGGGGGCGGCGGAGGGGAGCCCCTGGGTATGGAATACTTGGGAGGGAGGGGTGACCCTCGTCTTGATATTCGGCCTAGTGCCAGGCTGGACTTCAGCCTGGTGTGTGGTGGAGTCCTTTTCGCTCCTTCTCCCGGGCCTTTACCCTCTCCCGGGATTCCTGTGACGAGGGCCCTGGGGGTGTGTGCGGAGACTGGGTTTTCAGTCCAGCCTGCGACACTGATTGGACCTCTGTCAATGGGCAGGGTACCTCCGTTTACGGGCTTCAGCGTCCTTATTTAGAAGCAGGTTTTATTCACAGTGATTGTGAGCTCTTTAAGGGCAGGAATTGACTATTAGTGCTAGACACTGTCACTTGTCCCGGGTACAGAACAAGGACTATGTAGGTGCTGGGTGCCCACTTAAGTGTTTTAGGTCGTAAAACCTTTGAAAATACAGTGAGAGCTTTTGATCTCCACTTCCCACCTGTCCAACCTTACCCATACTCAGGTACTGGAAATTGGCTTACTATTTCAAATATTTAACAGATCTCTCCTGATGCCCAGCCATAGATCCCAGAGCCTGGCTGGTAATAGGCACTCAGATGTTTGTATTCAGTCGATGTTCAGCTTATCATTTGTAAACACATGAATCGCTGTCTCCGTCACAGGAGGAAGATAGGTATCAGTAAGTTTTAGTCATGGGTCTGGCAGTATGCTGTTTTCACGTAAGTCTTCTTTAGGAGAGAGGTATTATTTAATTCTGATTTTGCAGATGAGGAAATTGAGGCACGAGACAATAAACTTGTTTTAGCTCATTCAACCTATGAATGGTGGGAGCAAGAATTCAAATCCATGTCTGAAGTTCAGAAGCCCGGGGTTCTTAAATGCTAGCTAAAAAAGGCCAAGATGCGGAAATATATTTGAATGTGCTCTAGTAGCCTCTGTTTTTGAATTGTTAACTAGTGTAGTTCTGAGATGGGTATTATTAACAGATGATCCCAAACCAAATATTGCGTGCTGTGGAAATCCTCTTATTTTTCTTTCTCCTTTTCTCCCTTTGTATCTGTATTGCTTGTCTAATATTATTTTACATCTTTGCCCATGTTTTTCAATCCTTTTTGGTGAATACTGATTCAAGTGTGCTGACTGAATATGGCTGCATCAGTTGTGTTGCCTTGTTCTTCTAGCCCTCCAAAGCAGATGTTTTTACTTATAGTTGAAATATGAAGTGATAATGTTTGGAGATTTTTTTTTTCTTTTCCATATTGCTTTTAAAGGGACTATATCAAGGATCTTGGAAGCACTGCCAACATGTCTGACATTCAAGAAGCCACTAACCAACTTTTGGATGTGAACTTGCATGAGAACCAGAGGTCTATACAAATGACAGAAGGTGGCCCCAGAAGTGAGTCTGAGCACCTTCAAGTCACTATTGGAGCCACTGTACCTACTGGTTTTGAGCAAACCGCTGCAGATGAAGTGAGAGAAAAATTGAGGTCATCATGCAAAATCAGCAAAGACCGGGGCAAGATATACTTTGATATTTCCGTGGAAAGTCTGGCTCAGGTTTGAATGAAGCAATATTTAAAATAGTTTTCTAGATAGGTCATGTTATGAATATTTTCTGTTGCATTTTCTGTTGGGTACTGCTTTGTAAGTTTGGTAGCTTTGCCATATTTTTAGAAGTGACCCTAATATTTCCTGAGGATGAATTCACCAGAAGAATTCTGTGTGATTTATGAAGAAATGCTGGGTATCTGCTACACATCTTTGAATTTGTTTACTTCAGCATCTAGCTGAAGTTTAGACTTGGGGAGTGAGGCATAAACAAGGTTTCTTTAAAAAAATCTGTATCAAGAAATACCTGCTCAAAAGTAGTTAGGAATCACATAGAAGGTGAGACATGAAAGTCAGCAAACTTCCATCCCATTAGAATAAAAAGGTAAGCTATGTCTCATTATCACTTAAGCAACATGAGGACAGGGGTTGTCATATTTACTTGTTTGCTTGTTGATTGATTGATTGATTGATGATGTCTCCCAAGCTCTTAATGTGTAACATATAGTAGATATGCCCCCAAAATGTGGGATGAATTGATATGCAAGTGTTTCCCATCCAGTGTTTTAGTGAGAAAACTCTGTAGTTTTGTGAAGATAGGCATTGTTATTAGGCTTAGTAATGAGTAATATGCCCAGGGCTGCTCAGCTAGTAATCATAAAGCTGGAGCTAAAACCCTATTCTCTTAACCACTGCACTGTACAGTGTACCCCAGAGAGCTGTGAGAGAAATACGATAGAGCCTTACTTGACTATCTTTGTTTTTCCCTTCTCCCCCAAACCTGTGTTACCCACATAACACACTAAGCTTGTATCTTTCCACCAGTCCTCCTTCCTTTTATCTAGGGAACAGAAACTGATAGATAACCAAAAAGATAGGAAACTGGGGATATGGAGAAAATTTTTAAATATAAATTATAGGTACAGTAGACTATCCCCATCCATGGAGATATGTTCCAGGACCTCCAGTTGATGCCTGAAACTGCAGGTAGTACTGAGCCCTATATAGACTATTTTGTCTATACATATATACCTATGATAAAGTTTAATTTATGAATTAGATAATTTCATGGGTATAAGATTGATGTTTTTAAAAAGATTTTACTTTTTTATTTTTAGAGTGGGGGGAATGGAGGAAGAAAGAGGGGGAGAGAGACATCGATGTAAGAGAGAAACATTGATCCATTGCCTCTTGAACGCACCCTGAACAGGGACCAAAACTACAACCCATGTATGTGCCCTGACCAGGAATGGAACCAGTGACCTTTCAATTCATTGGATGATGCCCAACCCATTGAGCCACACTGGTCAGGGTGAAGATTGATTTTTGTCATATATCTTAGCAGCCTCAGCCTACAGTTTTTTTCTTTCCTTATTCAGTTGTCAACTTTCAGCTTTTTATTTAAAGAAAGCACTTGACAGCTTCTCTTTGGCATAGCCAAATTGCCAGCATTACCACTTGCACTTTAGGGCCTGCGTTAAGTGAAATAATGGTTAATTGAACACAAGCAGTGTGATACCATGACATGCTACTAAGTGACTAATGGGTGGGTAGCATATACAGCATGGATATAGTAAACAAAGGGATGACTTATTGTCCTGAATAGGATGGCACGAGATTTCATCAAGCTGCTCAGAATAGCCTACAGTTTAAAACTTAAGAATTCTTTATTTCTTCCATGTAACATTTTCAGGCAGTGGTTGACCATGTGTAACTAAAACCACAGATAAGGGACTACCTAGCCAGGTGGTTCAGTTGGTTGGACTGTTGTCCCGTACACCAAAAGGATATGGGTATGATTCCCAGTCAGGGCACATACCTGGGTTGCATGTTCGATCCTGGGTCGGGGCACATACATGAGGCAGCCTATCTGTATTTCTCTCTCACATCAGTGTTTCTCTCCCTTCCCCTCTCTCCGTCCCTCTAAAAATTCAATGAAATCATATCCCAGGTAAGAATTAAAAAGGAGGGGGACTACCATATTAGCTGCTTTATTTTTATTTTTTTAAAGGTTTATTTTATTCTTATTCAAGAGAGAAGGGAGGGGGAGAGAGAGAGAGGGGGGGGGGAGAGAGAGAGAGAGAGAGAGAGAGAGAGAGAGAGAGAGAGAGAGAGAGAGAGAAACATCGATGTGAGCACATCAATGTGCTTCTGCACAGTTCTGTCACCTTCTGCACGTGCCCCAACAGGGGATTGGGCCTGCAACCGGGCATGTGCCCTGATAGGGAATTGCACTGGCAACCTTTTGCTTATGGGTGATGCTTCAAACAACTGAGCCACGCCAGCCATGACCACATTAGCTGCTTTAAAATCTTTGTACCTAGCCCTGGCCAGGTGGCTGGCTCAGCTGGAGCATCATCCCACATATCAAAGGGTGTGGGTTCCATCCCCAATCAGGACACATACCTAGGTTGCAGGTTTGAATTGGGGCATGTACAGGAGGCAGTCGATCAATGTTTCTCTCCTGTCCTTCCTCTCTAGAATCAATGAGCGTATTCTTGGATGAGTATTTAAAAACAATATATTTTTTAAGTCTTCTTCCTAATTTTTATATCTAAATGTCAGTAGTTTGTGATTCAAATGCATTCTCAGAAATTTGTTCCTAACATTTTTTTCCCTTACCAGGTTCATTGTCTGAGATCAGTTGATAATTTATTTGTGGTTGTTCAGGAGTTTAAAGATTACCAGTTCAAAGAAACAAAGGTGAGCTATCCCAACCAAACATAGTAGCTGATTTTCAGCCATCATCCCCAAAGAAATTATTTCTACTTTACACATTCTGTCTATCATTTAGCATTACTGCTGCTTTTACAATATAGAATACTGGTAGACTTTTACAATAAAATCCAGAGATTTGTTGACAGTCAACTTTTTTCAAGTTGTTTTTAAAAATCAGTATTGCAGGGGGTAGAGAGTGGGCAAAATGGGTGGAGGGTGCCAAAAGGTACAAACTTCCAGGTATAAAAATTAGTCAGTCATGAGGATGCAACATAAAGCATGGCAGCTGTAGTTCATATTACTGTGTAGCATATTTGCAAATGGCTAAGAGGGTAATCTTAAAAGTTCTCAATACGTGAAAAAAAATTTTTGACGTGATATATTGTGGCAAATGTTAACTAGACATACTGTGGTGATCATTTCACAATGTACGCAGATACTGAATCACTGTAGTGTACACCTGAAACTAAAATGTTATGTCAATTACACCTTATTTTTTTAAAAGATGAAAGAATAATAAAATTTAAAAATCAGCATTAAGCCCTGGCTGGTGTGGCTCAGTAGATTGAGCGCCGGACTGTGAACCAAAGGGTCACAGGTTCGATTCCCAGTCAGGGCACATGCCTGGGCTGCCCGCCAGGTCCCCAGCATGGGGCATGTGACAAGCAACCACACATTGCTGTTTCTCTCCCTCTCTTTCTCCTGTCCTTCCCCTCTCTGTAAAAATAAATAAATAAAATCTGTAAAAAAAAATCAATATTGAAAACATCAAAATTTATAAGAAAACAGATTGTTTGACTTTCTTACAAAAGATACATACCTTAGATTAACTTTGCTGATATATATGGTTTCAAAATAGAATTGCTTCCTGACTGAACCAAAGAGCAAGTGACAGTTGGTATCATCTACAAATAACACTTTCCTTCACCATCCTGCTTTTGCCTAGTTTTTTTTCTCTAACTTCATTTTTTGAAATAAAGCCAAAGTAATATCTAAATATTCCTTCAGTTGTTAGGACAACAGTTTTGTCTCCAACTTGTATTTAGCATCTGATTCATAAATATTGAGATGCTGCCTAAGCTGAAGGTTGAAAATAGATCTCAGTAAGGCTTTAGTGTTTTTCCACATTGCTTTTTGGTCAGGTTTCCAGAATCAAATGCTTGAAAACTTTTTTTTTTGGTTAATTTTATTGCCTATATGGGAAATAACCTGTTTCTAAAAACTGTTATGCTGCTTAATTCTCATTTTTATTTGTTGGCAAAAGGTTGATTTCCAAAACATTACTCAAAAACCAATCAAAGTGGTATGAACCCACAGCCTAGAAAAAATAAAACCAGACCTAAAAGAATTCAGACTGAAAATAGATTAAAATTTTAATAACCAAAAATGTAACTTTCAACACTAGTATAACCCTTTAGACTTCTGATAGTCATTGCCAACTGAATTATATCTGTGAAACTAGTAAATAATAGGCAGGTACTGAAAATTTTTGCTGCTAAGTATTTCAAAATTTTAATAGCCATGACTAAATGTTAACAGGCATTTTATAAACCATTAAGTTTTTTTTTTTTAATTTTTAAATTCTTGTCTCTGGCTGGTAGCTCCATTGGTTAGAGCAGCTTTTCAATACACCAAGGTTGTGGGTCTGATCCCCAGTAAGGGCCTATACAAGAAGCAACCAGTGAATGCATAAATAAATGGAACAACAAAAATCAGTGTCTCTCTCCCTCTCTCTCTCTGTCTCCCCCTTCCTCTCTCTAAAATCAATACATAAAAATAAAAGTTTAAATTAAGTTCTTGCCTCTAATTTAGGGCATTATTAATATTCTTTTCAATTCCTATATTTTTTCCACCTTAGAATTTGCATTATTTTAGTGTTTTGGATCTCTGATTAGAGGTGAATTTGATATTATGGAAGTTCCTTGTGAGCCAGCTTTTTAGTGTTGTTTTGTGAGGAAATACAAAAGAGGTTGCTGGTCAAGTCCCAAAAGAAGAGCAGCAAGTGTTCAGGTGGATTTTCAGATGTGTGCATGGGCAACTTATTTTGTGTGTGACCATGAAAAATTCTTAAGCTCTTCACTTTGTGGACTTAAATTGTAACGTGGCCTGGTAAAACCTTGCTTTTGAACATTTGCTTCTAACATTTATCCTGTTGACCATCAATTTTAGTCTTTGTAATATTATAATTTCCCCCATCTTATTAAAAGCCTATTAATTTAAGCATTTTAATGGGTGCTGTTAAGTATTCAGATGATATCATGAGTTTATAACCTATTTTTTTTTAAGATTTTATTTATTTTTTTTTAGAGAGGGAAAACGAGAGGAAGGGAAACATCAATGTTTGGTTGCCTCTTGAGCACACCCTACTGGGAACCTGGCCTGCAACCCAGGCATGTGCTCCAACTGGGAATTGAACCAGCGACACTTTGGTTTGCAAGATGGCCCTCAATCCACTGCACCACACTACCCAGGGCATATAGCCCATTTTTTTTTTTTTTTACTTTTTTTTAAGATTTTATTTATTTATTTTTTAGAGAGGGAAGGGAGGGAGAAAGAGAGAGAGAGAAGCATCAATGTGCGGTTGCTGGGGGTCATGGCCTACAACCCAGGCATGTACCCTGACTGGGAATCGAACCTGCGACACTTCGGTTTGCAGCGCTCAATCCACTGAGCTACGCCAGCCAGGGCTATAGCCCATTTTTTAAAGGCTAACATCTGTGACTTATTTTTCTTTGAGTTTTGCAAACTGCTTTTTCTTCTTCTGGTGCCTCACCTCATCTTTGTACTTTTCTATCTGTGCCTTGAACTCTCATTTTTACAAAGGTCTGTCCTTATTACATTTTTTGATGCCATGTCAATGTGTTTGATCATAACCTTCTGCTGCTCTTTGGCATTGTCTTTCTGGTCAGTTTTTGTTTTTGGGGGGGTATTTTTGGTCTGTTTTTCTGTTCCTTTCCTCCTTTTTCCTTTTTTTTATGTTTCTATAAATCTTGTGCTGATAACTTTTGATAATTGCTTGTCTTTGAACAAGGGAGTTCCTCTTGTTAAGAGAAGGTTCTCCTGATAGAAGTCAAGAACTGCTCAGGCCAGCAAGAAATCCCTCTGGTTCACTGTGAAGTTCCTTCTGACAAAGGGCTGTGGACATTCGTTCACAGGGGTGAGACAGCCCCCTCATGAGGGCTGAGACTCATTCGAGTCTCTTCTTCCTTCTTTTTAAAAAATAGCTTTCCTGAGATATAATTTCTGTACCATTAAGCAAGTTCTTTTAACCATTACTTATCCTTAGCCTGAAGAGATCAGCAACTTCAAGGTTATTTACTATGTAGAGTATTCTCCCCAAGTCTACCTCACCAGTGTACTGTTTCCAGCCAATATAACTTATCCATCAGATTCCTTGTTCAGTCTCCCTTTCTCTCCCCTGCTTCTTCTTGGTACAAATGAAGTCCAGTGCATGCACTTCTTCCCTACTGTTTCCAAAAGAAGAGTTTATTTGCTACTACACTGCAGACTGCTCTACCCTTTATTTGAGGTCAGTAGGCATTCTGTCTTCCTGTACCTGTTTGACATTTACTGCACTTGGAAATTCTTATGTTAGAATTCTCATGTCATGGTTCAAGGTTATAGATACCATGTAGATTCTATTAAGATAGAGTTGGTATTTCTGGTGTTTTTTTTTTTTTTTCTTTTAGAAGGGTTTCTGAAGAAAGAAAGGTGCTGTACCAGTGTTATTCTACCGCGTCAACCCTAGATGCCCTTTTTAGGAAAATTATTTGTGAATAGAATTGCATTTGCCAAACCCAAATTTACCATTATTTTATCAGGTTTCAAGTAGTATCAAAACCTTTACTCACTTACATTTTCAAGCCTCAGTTTTATTAGCCAGCACTGATTTTGTTCTGCTTTGATCTTCAGTAACATGTACTATCTACCAGCACTCTGCAGTAGAGCTCTCTAATGGGAATATTCTGTGTCTTTGCTGTCCACCACGGTAGCCTCTGGCTACTGGTGTGTGAAATGTGGCTATTGTGACTGATAAACTGAATTTTAATTTTAAATCATTGAAATATCAATAGCTACATGTTGCTGGTGGCTGCTGAATTGGACAGCATGATTCTGTAACACCCATTTTAACAATTAGTCACATTTTCCAACATCTGTTTGTTAAGTACCTTTTATGTGCCAGGTACTTTTCTAAGCATGTAGCTTATAGCAATGGTCCAGACAGGTAAGGTCATTTCATTCCCAATTACCTTCTGGGAGGAGCCTTGTTAGTGAGCAATGCATAGACCTAGTAACTTTGGATAATGCTAAGTTCTGTAAAGAAAATAAAATGGGAAGAGAATGACTTGAGAGGATTATTGTAAGTAGAGCAGATCTCTCAGAGGATATTCCTTTTAAATTGCTATTAAATGAGGGAGCTAGCAGTGCAAAGAGACCACTGAACCGAATATCTTTTAAGCAGAGGAAGTGAGGAAGAGAATGATCCTAAAGTGATGTGTGAGAAGTAGTCCGGAGTCAGATTATGTTGGCCTTTTTAAGGAATTTTACATTTTTTTAGGTGCTGTGGGAAGCTATTGATGGGCTCTAAGCAAGGGAGGGGCATGATCAGATTTATTTTTTAAAAAGATGGCTCTAGATACTATTTAGAAATTGTATAAGTACATTTTTAACTGATAATGGTTTTTTTTTTTTCTTTTAAAAAATAGTCAAGCCCTCGCTGGTGTGGCTCAGTGGATTGAGTGCCGGTCTGCAAACCAAAGTGTTACCGGTTCAGTTCCCAGTCAGGGCACATGCCTGGGTTGCAGGCCAGATCCCCAGTTGGGGGCACATGAGAGGCAACTGATCAATGTATTTCTCACACATTGATGTTTCTCTCCCTCTCTTTCTCTCTCCCTTCCCCTGTCTCTGAAAGTAAATAAAATCTTTTTTAAAAAATAGTCAATATGTACACACAGCATAAAATTCAAAGGGTAGTCAATCAGTAAGAGGTAAGTTGCCCTCTCTCCCTGTCTGTCATCTCCCCACTCCCCCTTGTTAGAGGTAACCACTATTTTTAGTTTTTTATTGTTCACATTTTAATCTTGAACCCCAACTTTTAATCTACCATTCAATCTTGTGTTATTCTTAGTGGCTTAATTTGTATACAACCTAATTTTAAATGAGATTTTTATCTTTTGATTACAGCCAATATTTTATAGACTCTTGTTTTGCACCTCTCCCATTCCCAAAATAACAATTAATGTCATCTGTAGACAAAGTAAGAGTTTATTTTTCAATTAAAATGGTGAGAAGTGAATGGATTTCTTTCTTTGTCTCTTATAGGAAGAAGTCCTAAAGGATTTTGAAGAATTGGCTGGGAAGCTTTCATGGTCAGACCCTTTAAAAGTATGGAAAATTAACACCAATTTCAAGAAGAAAAAAACAAAACACAAAAAGATAAATCAGAATTCAAGTAAAGAGAAGATTAATAATGGACAAGGAGACAAAAGAGATGAGAAAGATGTTAAAAACGAGTTCACTAACAATGCCTTAGATTCACATATTTTAGACTACTATGAAAAGCCAGCCATCAAAGAAGAGATATCAACATTAGTAGGTGATGATTTGGCATCTTGCAAAGATGAGATTGATGAGAGCTCAAAAGAAGAAACTAGTCTTGAAATGCTGAAGTTTAGAGTCACATGCAACAGGGCAGGAGAGAAACACTGTTTTTCCTCTAATGAAGCTGCAAGAGATTTTGGGGGTGCTGTTCAAGATTATTTTAAATGGAAGGCTGATATGACCAACTTTGATGTGGAGGTAGGTACAAACTCTGATGATTTAAGAAGGCTGTCATAGATGTATAGAATTTTTAGACTAACCCAGTCTTATAGATAATTAAACTGAGGCCACAGAGCTACATTTTAAGTATTTGATGGAATAAACTGTTAAATAGATGGGAACTGTTAAGACTTGAGCTTTCTAATTTCTAATTTAGTACTTTTTACAACATTACATGGACTTTCAGATTATAAAATTCAACCAGGCTTAAAACAAATTTTTTGTTTTTGTGTGTCTTGATTGTAGAGGTTTGCTACTAAAAAAAAGTAGAGTACATTTCTTTTCTTTTTTTGAGAGAGAGAGAGGAGAGTTTTTATAAGAGTTTACTTGAGCAGAACTGACATGTACCTGGGAACAACATGTCAGATGTTCCCCAGAATACATTTTTAAAACAAACCTTGACCTCCTAAAATCAGGACATCATTGCTAATACTCATCCTTGAGACAGCTCTCCTCTTTCTTAAATTCTGCTAGATTTTAGCATCCTTAGTGTCAATTGCCTACTACACGGATAATTCACATGTGGACCACACTAAGTTGTCTTTAAATCTCTGACAGCTTAAAAGGCCCCTAGCAGCTGATGTTTTTATCAAGAAGTAATTTTCTGTTGCTTTTGGGACACTTGCCTCTGGGGCAAGTCACTTATTCTCTCTGTAAGTTTTTCTTTTATTGCGTATCAAATCAGAGGAACAATTCCCCATTTCTTTTTTTCCTCATAACAGCTGTTATGAAAATGAATATGCTAACTAGAACAGTAGTGTCCAAAAGTTACCAGGGGGTTCAGATACTGGAGCCAGACGACCTGGGTTCAGATCCAATTTTACAAGGCTTATGAATGGGCAAGTAACAGACATCTTTGTGGCTCAATCTCCTCATCTGTAAAAGGGGGTAGTAATACCTAGCTCAGATGGTGTGAATATGAAATGAGGTAATGCATGTAGGGTGTGTAGAACACTGGCTTGCATGTAGCTAGGTAAGTGGCACCTGCTATTGCTAAGGTCCTGATGAGGAAATTTTAAGTAGAAGATTGGAGAACAGTTTTTTTCCACTTTCTTTATTTGAATAGTTTCTATTTAATTATGTTAGAAAAACTATAACTAGGACATAAAAACATTTCACAGACATTGAGTCAAGTTTTAAAAAATATTAAGAAAATAATAGGTAGTAAGGCAAATGTATAAACAAAAGTTAAAATTTTAAAAAATGTGTATTAAGCCCATAGACATTCAAAATATGTTTACATTCAAAATACATTATAAAAATTTGGGGAAAATATGTTTATGGCTAACTTACAAACAAAATGAATGAAAAGGAAAGAATAAAATAAATGTTAAAATTTGAAAGTAGTATATACTATATGGTTTCATTTATATGAAGTTCAAAACAAGACAAAACTAATATATGGTAGAAGTGGTCAGATTTATAATTACTGGGAGGGGCAAAGGGGAGCCTTCTGGTTTGGTAGAAATATTGCATATCTTTATCTGGTGGGCAGTAACAGTGCATATAGGTAAAAATTACTGCACTGCATACTTAAGATTTGTGTATTTTAGTGTATACACATAGTATACCTCCATAATAAAGTTAAAAAAACAACAAAGGCTGAAATTTTAAAATCCTGGTAATAAGTGCAGTTTGTACAATTCTAAAACACTTTATTCTATCTTGTTTTATTTTAGGTGCTTTTGAATATCCATGATAATGAAATAATTGTGGGCATTGCATTGACAGAAGAGAGTCTCCACCGAAGAAATATTACACATTTTGGACCTACAACTCTTAGATCTACTCTTGCCTATGGGATGCTCAGGTAAGAGAATGCATTTGCCATCTAGATTAAAGTGATAACTTGGTTTCAAGTTTACCTCCAAAACACTTTAATTTCTTGTGAGGCACTGTGTTGGAATTTAGTGGGTAAAGAATAGGATAAAAAGCTGATAATGAACTGTTCCTTTCCCTTATATCCAGTGTTAATTCTTTGTGATCCTGAAAATATCACTTAATTACTGTCTCAGTTTTGTTGATTTTAAAATGGGAATGATAGTTTTCATCTACTTCTTGAATGGGGTTGCCACATTTCTGTTTAAAAAGAATATACTGCATATTGGGAAGTAGAGCAAATTTTACTTTGTTTCATTTCTGTCAGTGAAGCAGATGAAAGCAAAGATTTTTTTTTAAATGTCTAATGTATAAATGAACACAGAGAACTTTTACTTATATTTTTAAATTGTATAATCACTGCAACCCAGGAACCATCCTGGAATTTTCTACTTTTCAAATGCAAGATCTAGCTTGCTTTCTCCTTTTCCCTATTCGCTTTTATATTGGGTCCTTCTTTCTACCACTCAGACAAGTTGTCTTCTCTTGTTTTTTCTGGAGACTTAAAGGAGTGTTACAGAGGAGTAAATGCAGAAACATATGCAAAACACCTGCTATATACACCATCACTGTCAGCATATTCTAGGAGTCCTACCAGCGCATCCATGGAATCACAGTTCAGCACAATTGGAACCTGTCAATTCGATGACAATAATAGATAACTGAGGCCATTTGATTAAAGAAAAGTTCGTAGTCTTCATTCAACAAACATTTATTATCTACTGCCAAGCATTGTGGTGGAGGAGCCAGGGAGATGAATAATTATTTTGGGTCCACTGTTAGAAACCTAAGTAAGCTAGTGTAAGATTTTTTTAAAAGTGATGATGGTGTGGGAAAGGGGTTTATTAGAAAAATATTGGGAAATCTTAGAGAATCCACAGAAAACTGAAGGCCATGTGTCAAGAAGGAGAGGAACCAGATCTTAGGAAACTACCTTTTAAACCTAGACAGTCACTTTTGTCTCTCCTGGGAGTTTGTGGGCTCTTTTCTCTGCTCATGTGTGCAAATGGCTGCCCTCATCTAAATTTACACATTTCCAGTTTCAAATGACCAGCTTCATATTGCCTAGGGCTTCTAACTCTTTATTCCCAATTCTTATAAGAGAGAATCTGATTGACATAGTCTTGGTCAAGTGTTCTCCCAGATCCTGACAGCAATGATTAGGAGTATAGGGTTGCTTACTGCCAACAGGGTTGTCAGAGATTCTGTTGCCATTTATTGAAGGGCAAGAATAGGGAGGTAGGGCTAAACAGGTATTACAGTAAGAATCCAGTGTTATCCCCAAGAATCTCAAGTCTTGTGAGGGAGATAAATTACCTTACATGTAGTAAATACCATAATACTCATAGAATGTGAAAAGATTATCAGGACAAAAGGAGAAACCTAATGACCTGAGGAGGGGATGCTTCATAGAGGGGTGACATTTAAGGCACTAACAGTGATGTTTCTAATCCTGACTCTGTCACCTATTAGTTTTGTGTCTGTGGACAGGTTTTGCATCAGCTTATCAGTAAAATGAGAATAATAGTGACCTACCTCATAGGGTTAAATGAAATGATGCATGCAAAGAGTTAAATCCACGCCTGGCAAATACAGCAGGTCTTCCAATGACATTGTTTCTTGTACCACTGATGAGATACTGGAGATGCTGTAAGAATTTAACTCTTGTTTATATCCATTAGCCTGTGGTAAAATTGGTTCCATTATATGTCATTTTGCTTAAGTGAGGAATTATTATACTAAGTACTCACAATAAAGCAAATATTTTTACAGCAAGGTTACTATCTTTAAAATTCATAAGGAAAGGAATACTGAATATCTAATTGCCAGTCAACTTATATTAATACATGTTCTACTTGAAATATGTTTGAAGTTTTTTAATGTAACACATGTTTATATGAAAAATTAAAAATGTATTTTCTAAAGGCATGCATGTATATTAAAAGATCTAGAAGCTAAAGTCCATCTGGAATGAAATGGAATTTTATACAATAATAAAAGGGTACTTTTAATTATAGGTAATGCTTTTATTAACTGCTAGGATATAGAGTCAACATGTAATTACAAATTGATTTTTAAAATGAGTATTGATTGGTGATTCTTCATGCTAATATAGCAGGTCCTTGATCTTACAGCTTCAGAAATAGTCACCATGGAAGCCCGAGCTATTGGTTGAAATCTCTTCACATAGGCTATTTTCTTTTCTCTAGGCTCTGTGCACCTCAACCTACTGATATAATAGTTGATCCAATGTGTGGAACAGGGGCAATACCAATAGAGGTAATAACTTTTCTTTAGCTTTTAATGAGCAGATGTTACATCCAGAATGTCCTAGAATTAATAGGCACATTAGGCATAATGAAACACCAAGATTGGGTCAATGGACCAAAGTTTTAGAGGAATTACTCTGGTAAATTTGGAACTGTTTGTGTCCAGAATGTAACCACTTATTACAAAAGCCAAGAACTTGATAGATTGTAAATTATATTTATTCAGTGGATTACATAGAAGACTAAGGATTACAAACTGGTGAGTCCCTTTTCTATGATGGACAAGCAAGTAGATTTGAATGGAAAACATAATTGAAGGCACAAGCATGAACTGGAGGAAGGCATTTCATCTTTATAAAGTCATTATGTTTCTTAATCTATTTAGTTCTTGGAGTAAGTCTAGTTGTAAAAAGGGGAAGCCTATGGACAACATTTAGTTTTTTCAAGAAGTCTTAAAAGGTTATATACCAAAAGTTTGTAAGTAGTTTTTATTTTTTAATTTCCAATTTTTTTAAATTTCATGTATTTTTTCCATTACCATTTAGCCCCATTATACCCCCACACACACCCACAATCACCACACTGTTGTCCATGTCCATGAGTATTTTTCCCTTTTTGCTTGATCCCTCCACCCCCTTAACCCATCCATTGCATAACTGCCAGCCTGCTTCCTATAAGTCTGTCTCTATTTTGCTTGTTAGTTCAGTTTGGTCATTAGATTCCACATATGAGTGAAACCATGTGGTATTTATCTTTCTCTGACTGGCTTATTTCACTTAGCATAATGTTGTTCTCCAGGTCCATCCATGCTGTCACAGAGGGTAAATTTTCTTCATTTTTAACACCAAGTAATGTTCCATTGTGTAAATGTCCCATAGTTGTTTTATCTACCCATCTACTGATGGACACACTTGGACTGCTTCCATATCTCGGCAATTGTAAATAACATTGCTCGGACATAGGGGTGCTTATGTTCTTTCAAATTAGTGTTTTGGGTTTCGTCGGGTATATTCTCAAGAGTGGGATTGCTGGATCAAAAGGCAGATCCATTTTTAATTTTTTGAGGTGTCTCCATACTGCTTTCCACAGTGGCTGCACTAGTCTACTTTCCCACCAATAGTGCAAAAGGGTTCCCCTTTCTCCACATTCTTGCCAGCACTTGTTGTTTGTTGACTTGATGCTGATAGCCATTCTGACAGGAGTAAGGTGATATCTCACTATGGTTTTAAGTTGCATTTCTCTGATGATTAGTGATATGGAGCATCTTTTCATAAGTCTATTGGCCATCTGTATGTCCTCTTTGGAGAAGTGTCTAATCAGAACCTTTGCCCATTTTTTTAAATTTTATTTTAATTGTTGCAGTACAATTTTCTGTCTTTTACTCCCACCCCAACCCACCCACCCAGCCCTCCCCTCCTCCCTCCCATTTCCACCCGCCCCTAGTTTTTATCCATGTGTCCTTTATACTCGTTCCTGTAAACCCTTCCCCTTTTCCCCTGAAATTCCCTTGAAATTCCCTCTCCTCTCCCCTCTGAACTCTGTCAGTCTGTTCTTTATTTCAGTGTCTTTGGTTATATTTTGCTTGTTTGTTTTGTTGTTTAGGTTCCTGTTAAAGGTGAGATCATATGGTATTTGTCTTTCACTGCCTGGCTTATTTAGCTTAGAGTAATGCTTTCCAGCTCCATCCATGCTGTTGCACAGGGTAGGAGCTCCTTCTTTCTTTCTGCAGCATAGAATTCCATTGTGTAAATGTACCATAGTTTTTTGGTCCATTCGTTTACTGATGGGCATCTAGGTTGCTTCCAACACTTGGCTATTGTAAATTGTGCTGCTATGAACACTGGGGTGCATAGGTTCTTTTGCATTGGTGTTTTAGGGTTCTTAGGATATAATCCTAGCAGTGGAATTGCTGGGTCAAAAGGCATATCCATTTTTAGTTTTCTGAGAAAATTCCATACTGTTTTCCATAGTGGTTGTACCAGTCTGCAATCCCACCAACAGTGTACTAGGGTCCCCTTTTCACCACAACCTCTCCAAGATTTGTTGTTTGTTGCTTTGTTTATGATGGCCATGCTGACTGGTGTAAAGTGGTATCTCATTGTGGTTTTAATTTGCATCTCTCTGATAGCTAGTGATATTGAGTATCTTTTCATATGTTTCTGTATCCTCTGTATGTCCTCCTTGGAGAAGTATCTGTTCAAGTCCTTTGCCCATTTTTTAATTAGATTGCTTGTCTTTTTGGTGATGAGTTTTATAAGTTCTTTATAAATTTTTTTTAAAGATTTTATTTATTTTTTTAGAGAGAGAGGAAGGGAGGGAGAAAGAGAGGAAGAGAAACATCAATGTGTGGTTGCCTCTCATGTGGCCCCCACTGAGGACCTGGCCTACAACCCAGGCATGTGCCCTAGACTGGGAATTGAACCAGCAACCTTTTGGTTCACAGCCCACGCTCAGTACACTGAGCTACACCAGCCAGGGCAGTAAATTTTGGATATTAACCCCTTATCAGATGTATCAGTGAATATGTTCTCCCAGTCCATGGGTCGTCTTTTCATTTTGTTGATGGTTTCCTTTGCTTTGTAGAAGCTTTTTAGTTTTATGTAAGCAACCTATAGATTCAACACAATTCCTATCAAGATTCCAATGATGTATTTCATAGTACTAGAACAAATATTTCAAAAATTTACATGGAACCACAAAAGGCCCTGCCTAGCAACAGCAATGCTGAAAAAAAAAAGAACAGAGTTGGAGGAATCACACTACCTAACATCAAATTATACTATAAGGCCATAGTAATCAAAACAGCATGGTACAGACATAAAAACAGACACATAGATCAATGGAACAGAATAAGAGAGCAGAGAAATAAACCCACACCTTTATAGTCAATTAATATTTGACAGAGGAAGCAAGCATATACAATGGGCTAAAGATAGTTTATTCAATAAATGGTGTTGGGAAAATTGGACAGGTAGGTGCAGAAAAATGAAACTAGACCACCTTTTTACATCATACACAGGAATAAATTCAAAATGGGTTAAAGACTTAACTATTAGCCCTGGCTGGTGTAGGCTCAGTCAGTGGATTGAGCACGGGCCTGTGAACCAAAGGGTCACCAGTTTAATTCCCAGTCAGGGCATATGCCTGAGTTGCAGGCCAGGTCCCCAGTAGGGGGCATGAGAGAGGCAACCACACATGGATGTTTCTCTCCCTCTCTTCTTCCCTTCCCCTCTCCTTTATTCTCCTAAAAATAAATAAAGTCTTTTTTAAAAAAGACAACTGTTAGACCCAAAACCATAAAAATTATAGAATAAAACATAAGCAGTAAAATCTCAAACATTGCCCATAGCAATATTTTATCTGATATATCTCCTCTGGCAAGGGAAACAAACGAAAAATAAAATGTGACTACATCAAATGTTCTTAAGTACTTTTTAAAATTACTGTGACATTGAGAGGACTCAAAAATTGCCTAAAGCAAAGGAAGGAATGGAAAGGCATTTTCTAAGTGGAGAACATCTAACGAGAGTTTCCTTGAATCCATATTATCTATACTTTTATAAATAATTTAGAAGAGGGCACTTTCAGTAAAATTGCTTAAATTTGTGAAACATGGTAAGTTGTTACATATAGTACACTAAAACCAACAAGAGATACCATAGATCAGTGATTTTCAACCGATGTGCTGCAAGAATTTTTAAAACATATAGTACCTAATTATTTAGTCGGGGCACTGACCTCTTTTTCCCTTAGATTATCAAATTTTAAAAATTACAACAATCAACACGATAATAGCTGTCTGGTGTGAATGCCCTGTCTTGAACCACAAATATATAGGTTATATAAGAGTTGCATCTTATTGGTCACCTCGTGTAACAAGGTTGTATCTGATTTGTTAATTCTTGGTACCAGAAATCCTTATATGCAAGTATGTACCTGAGGTGGGTTTTTTTTTTTAAGATTTTATTTATTTATTTTAGAGAGATGGGGAAGGGAGGGAGAAAGACAGGGAGTGAAACATCAGTGTGTGGTTGCCTCTCGCACACCCCATACTGGGAATATGGCCTGCAACCCAGGCATGTGACCTGACTGGGAATCAAACCAGTGATGCTATGGTTCACAGGCCTGCACTCAATCCACTGAGCTACATAATTTTTATTTATTGATTTTAGAAGGAGAGAGGAAGGGAGACATATCAATTTGTTGTTCCACTTATTTATGCATTCATTAGTTGATTCTTGTATGTGCCCTCACTGGAGGATCAAATCTACAACTTTGGGGCATCAGGACAATGCTCTAACTAACTAACAGGTAGCTACCTGGCCAGGGCTAGGCACTTGGGTTTTTTTAAGTCACTTTGGAGCAAAAAGGGTAGGTAATTACTATTATTATTACTTTTTATAAATCAATCAAAATTATACCTATTTTTGTCAGATTGGCAAAAAGGTATAGTTTTTGGTGTGCCACAGAATTTTACAAATTAATTTATGTGTGCTATTAGAAAGGTGGAAAATCACTGCCACAGATTCTTTGAGGGGGGAGAAACTGGATAGATAAGCAAGTCCAAAACAACTTACAAAGGGAAAAATAATCCAGAGTGCAATTAGAAAATGACATCTGTCATCTGGGAGTTAAAATCTCAGGAGTCCTGACTGGTGTGGCTCAGTGAGTTGGGGGTCATCCTGCAAACTGAAAGGTCTGGTTTTATTCCTGGTTGGGACACACACCTGGGTTGTGGGGCACACCCCCAGGAGGGGGTGTATGAGTGGCAACCTGTCCATGTTTCCCTCACACATCGATGTTTCTCTTCCTCTCCTCCTCCCCTCCTTTCCTCTTTCTAAAAATAAATAAATAAAATCTTTAAAAATTTTTTTAGGCCCTGGCTGGCATAGCTCAGTGGATTGAGCACAGGCTGCTAACCAAAGCATCGCAGGTTCGATTCCCAGTCAGGATACATGTCTAGGTTGCAGGCCACGGCCCCCAGTAACCACACATTAATGTCTCTCTCTCTCTCTCTTTCTCCCTCCTTTCTTCTCTAAAAATAAATAAATAAAATCTTTAAAAATTTTTTAAAAATATTAAATAAGTCCCAAAGGGAATTATAGTAGTCTAGGCAACTGCTGCTTTCTGCTCCTGTCAGAGAACTTTACACTGGCTAAAGAAACTGACAGTAAAAACACAGTTGTTATCAAGAATAATTCTGGGAAGAAAGCAGAGTGTTTTTCTTTAGCCTTAAACTATGATGTTTTGTTTTGTTTTTAAAGATTTTATTTATTTATTTTTAGAGAGGGAAGGGAGGGAGAAAGAGAGAGAGAGAGAAACATCAATGTGCGGTTTCTGGGGGTCATGGCCTGCAACCCAGGCATGTGCCCTGACTGGGAATCGAACCTGCGACACTTTGGTTTGCAGCCCGCGCTCAATCCACTGAGCTATACCAGCCAGGGGCAAACTATGATGTTTTTCTTTAGCCTTAAACTATTAATGAAATAGCAGGGAAGGTCACTACGTGTCAAACAATATACAACAGAACTAAAAGTCCAGAGAAGCCCCCTACCCCACCAAATAAAAGATAAAAAGAAAAAATTTGAGGCATTTCCATGTAAGGGTAGACATGAGGATGTAAATATAAAAAGACTTAAGCTGATATTTGATTAAAATGAATGAAATTATCAGTGGAATTGACAAGGTATATATATAGATTTGTTCACCAAAGTATAAAATACTTGACTTACCATACTCCCCTTAAAACTTGGACTTATTACAAAACCCATCTCTAATTTTAGAGACTGAAAAGCTAAATGGTTTTGAAGGAAAAAAAAAAAGAATGTTGGGGAAGTAGAATCACATGAGAGGCTTTCATCAAACTCTCTAGGACTCCTCCACATCACCTGTACATCACCCTTCCTTCTACCTCACCCTCGAGTGCCTAGGCAAAAGAAAAAGCTGTGAAGCACTGTGTTCATGGATGAGGGTATGTTACTGTTTACAAAGGAAGAGGTGTTTGTCACTCATCCCTGAACAGAGTACAGAACTTTCTCTGCCTTCATGTCAGAAACCTGTTAATTTGCATATAACATTGTTCAGGCCTAACTTAGTATGTCACTTCATTCCACAAATGATATATAACATCTTGGTATTTATATTTTGTTGACATGTTTTTCACTTAAACTTACAAAACACTTTCAGGGTTATGGTAGTTATTTAAAAGCCTATACAATGGAGATTATATTTTATTTTGAAATTCTCAAATATTCCAATATATCAGATTATGTAACATCCCATAATCACAAAAAGATATATAGGTTGGTCATTTTGATTTGGTTGTTTTTTCTTATTCTCCTTTGTTTTCAGAATATAGTTATTAAAGCTCCAAGGACAGTGAAATAAAGAAGGGGTTAGGGTGGAAGAAGCAACAGGAGAGAGCTTAGGTGGTGCTCTGCTTTGGCTCCCTAGAAACATTATAGAAAGAATTGAGCCACAATGGGGCTGCTGTTAGCTCATTGATAAGTCAGAGAAATGGGAGCCTTGGAGAAGGTTCAGGGCATAAGCCCAGGACAAGCTACCACTTCCCATTGCTCTCCTGGTTGCAAGTCTCTCAGGACTCTTAGAGTTTAGGAGAGAAAAGTAAAGATGCACCCTGAGGGACGGAAGGCATGGATGTGCTCCCTAGAGAGCCAGCCAATTTGGTTGTGTTTTCAAACTATATTTTCATTTAAGGTCTGTAATATGTATTATGTGCCAGGTACTGTGGGGTGAGAGATTGAATAAATACCAGACCTGAGTTCCCAGGTTCATTAAGAGTCACACAGGTGTAGAAATAATTGAAAAGAAAAAGTGCAGTGACAGATATACAAAGTACTTTAGGGAGGGGCAAATGAGGCAGCTTGGAGAGCTGGGGTTCATGTCACAGAGCTAACTAGGTCTTGAAAGATGAGTAGGAGTTCAGCAAGCAGAGAAAGAACAGGAGGGCATTTCAAGCAGGGGGAACAGCAAAGTTGACAACATGTAGTGTCTTGCCACTTTAGAAAAGTGTTGGACTGTTGGATTTGATGTCTTGCTTACTGATAATCGATTGAAGTGATTTTTTTAATCATGTTTTTACAGTTTGCTACTTTTGTTTCAATATATACTCTTGTCTTTTAGGGGGCTACTGAATGGGCTAATTGTTTTCATATTGCTGGTGATAATAATCCATTGGCTGTGAATAGAGCAGCAAATAACATCTCATCTTTACTGACCAAGAGCCAAACTAAAGGGTAAGATTTTTGAAGTTTTTGTAGCATCTCTTAGACTTAGACATTGACTTTATGATTAATATCCACAGTGCACTGTGACATCATTTAACCAAAATGAACATGTCAAGACTCCATTTAAATTTTTAAAGACTGAAAATGATTTGTAGTTTTAAAATATTTTTAACTGTAATTTCACCACTCTAATGCAACTATTTTTATTTCTGTCTTCCTTTTTCTTTTTTACCCCACATAATGGAAGAATATTATATAGTCTATTTTTAATAACTACATAATATTCCATTCTATAGAAATACTATAGTTTATTATAATAGCCTTTCCTTTATTAATTGGCACTTTAAAAAAATCTGAGTTGCGCCCTGGCTGGAGTGGCTCAGTAGATTATAGGGGCCGGCCTGTGAACCAAAAGGTCTCCTGTTCGATTCCGTCAGGGCACATGCCTGGGTTGCAGGCCGAAGCCCCACTTAGGGGTGTGCGAGAGGCAACAGATCAGTGTATCTCTCACACATTGATGTTTCTCTCCCTCTCTTTCTCCCTCCCTTCCCTTCTCTCTAAAAATAAATACAATCTTTTTAAAAAATTAAAAAATAAAAAATAAATCTGAGTTGTGAGAGACCTGAAAGCCATCTATCCCATGGTTCCTAAGTATCCTAAGAGATCCTAACCATTGTCTTTCGAGCATGTGTAAACACTTCTAATGACTCATCTCTTTGATTCCCTCTTTGCACAGCTAGTCATATCTCTTAGTGAACTGAATCTCTCCCTGAACTTCCTACAGATTTTTTTTTCTCCTCCCACCTGGGTCCATGAAAAAAATTTTATCTCTGTGTCACACGATGATTGACATCAGGTATTTAAAGGGCTACCAAAACTCCCCTTTCCTCCATCCTCACCCCTCCAAATCCTCTCCTCTCCAAGCAAAATATTCCAAGTCTTTTAAATGTATCTTTTTAATATCTGTGCATTGGAATTCCATTAGCCTCTGGGAAATTTTGTTTTTCATCTGAGATATATGTTATAGTATTAAGCTTTAGCCCACTACAACAATTACATTTGAGGATACCATCTGGGCCAGCCTTTCACCATTCTATCAAAGTCTCAGCTGTCTCTGGGAAGAATTGGTTGAAATGTCACTTAGTCAGCAACTTCTTACTAGAGGCCTCATCATAAAATTGTTTCTCTGGTTTCCAATGCTGGTGTCCTTCATTTTCTTATAAAGCAGCAGGAGTAGGTAGTCATCAGCAGATCTGTCAGGTTTTACAACTGCTTCACATCCTGAGTATGTAGCCCAGGAAGTCATTATATCTCATGATTGGCCTTAACAGAATTAAAAACACCTGCCTTCGTAACCCTTCGTGTTAGGTTTATATTTGTAAGTTTTTTAAAATATATATTCATTTTATGCAAATACTCATTTACTAGTTATACATGGTATACTTGTTACTATTTTATGTCCGTGTGTGTATATATATATTTTTAATTGATTTTAGAGGAAAGGAGAGAAACGCTGATTTTTGTTTTTCCACTTATTTATGCATTCACTGGTAGATTCTTTTATGTGCCCTCACTGGGGGATCTAACATGCAACCTTGGTGTATAGTGATGATGCTCTTACCAAATGACCTAGCCAACCAGGGCCTATGTCTGTATATTGGTTATCCTCTTTTCCTTGCTAATTTGGTTTTTCCCCTTTTGATTAGAATTGCCAGCACTTTGTATTGTTTTCATATACTACTTACTCTGTGGTTTTATGCTCCATGCCTTTTGTTTTTATTCCTATCTCCTATTGAGGTTTTAAAGTTTATCTAAAATCTTTAGTTATATGCTGTAAATTTCTTTTTAATGATAAAAGTTTTTATTAGAGGTTTTTAAAAATTTTTTTTTATTTTTAGAGAGGGAAGGGAGGGAGATAGAGAGGGAGAAAGAAACATCAATGTGTGGTTTCTGGGGGTCATGGCCTGCAACCCAGGCATGTGCCCTGACTGGGAATTGAACCTGCGATGCTTTGGTTCACAGCCCACGCTCAATCCACTGAGCTAGGCCAGCCAGGCTTATTAGAGCTTTTATGTAAAATACTCCTGTTGACCATATTCTATAGATTTTGATAGTTCTCTACTTTAGTTACTTTCTGCATTCTTAGTTGTATACTTGGCTCTCTGATCAGTTGTTTAGGATAGTGCTTTTCAACCTTTTATGTGCCTATGAATCACCTGGGATCCTATTAATATACAGATTCCGATTCATGAGGTTTAGAGTGGGACCTAGGAGTCTGTATGTCCTAGCAAGCTGGGTGATGTTGATGCTGCTGGTCTGTAGCCCAACCTTGAGTAGCAAGGATAGTTTATTTTTGATAATTTATATTTTATTATGAATTTTTATGGTATATTTTATTTCACATGAGATTTTCTTGAGAGTTAGTACATGACCAGGCTTGTTTTTGAAACCTGATAGACATTTTAAAAACATCGTTTTTCTATTTTCTGAATATTTTCTTCTTTTTCAGACCCTTTTGGGCACCTTCACTTTTCACCTGTTCAACCTGTACTATTTCTGTCATATCAATCTTACCTAGCTTTTAATATTTTCAGCTTGTTTTGTTGCCGTTATTGGTGCTTGTGATTGTAAAGCTCTATTTTCAATATTTGTCCTTTTCCTCATTATGTAGTGATCGCCTTCACTGCATTTTATTCTTAAATTCTTTATCAAATATCAATAATATAACCCTTCATTTCAGCTCATAATCTTCAAATTCTTAACCTGTGTATTATTGCCTGTTGTGTTTTATTAAACCAGTAGTATTGCCTTAATGGGATTTAAATCATGTTTTTATTATTGTTTCTTGTCATCTATTTAACTTTTTTTTGCTTCTTGTTTATTGATAATATATATTTTTTTAATCTTAAAGGTACCTCTATATTTACTAAATTTATCTATGTTTTTAGGTCTCCTGTTATCACTACATAGATTTACCAAACTTTATCCTTCAGATGTGTCTCATCTTTTCCTCTTTAGCATTGTTTCCAGTATCCTTTTCATGTTTCATCAATTACATAATTTACCCTCTCAACAGTTTTCAAAATTGTCTGTTGCAGTTGTGTTGCAGCCTTGTTTCTCTCCTTAATCCTTTTTCTTAAATCATAAATGAAGCAGATATAATCTTTTGAAAGTCAATTATAACAACTTAAAAATATTTTGTTATTCTTACAGATTTGGTCATCAATAATTTATAACCTTATACTTTCTGCATTCTTTTAAAATTTTGATTATTGATATTGTCAATATCAATTAATATTTTAGTAGTATTTTTTACTTTATATCAGTATCTTCAGAAAAAAACTTTTTAAAATTTCCCTTAAGAATATGTTAAAGCACCTTTCCTTTGTCCTCACAGCAAACTGTCCTGTGGCTTGCCCATAGATGCTATTCAATGGGATATCTGCAATCTGCCACTGAGAACTGGCTCTGTGGACATTATTGTAACAGACATGCCATTTGGAAAAAGGTGGGACTTAAGTTTTTTTTAAAATGGGGTTTACTTTCACTTGTTATACCAGTACCCACACGTCTTCTAAACCTGTTACATTTTGAGTTTATGTCAGAAATCTTTCATTCCTTTTAGCAGACTGTCAGCAGAGCAATTTTTCTTTTACGAATTATAACAAGATGATAGAGTCATCCATTTTTTTTCTTCTGAAAACAGGAATGTATTAACTACATTTTAATCCTGACCATCACAGGAGGTTTCATCCACTTATAGTGCATCATTAAATTATAACACTTCACACAGAAAGGTTGAGGAAAACTTGGTTTCTCTCTCAATATAAATGATTTTTTCACTGACTTGGTTTCTATAATTTGCTCATGATCATTAAGAGGGCAGTTTGTATATTTAAAGTTGTCAAAGTTTTTTTTTCTCTGATTAATCCAATTCAAAATTCTATGCAATTTATTTAGGTCTGATCACTCATTTCATTGACATATAATAGCAAAGCTATGGCTTCTAAACAGCAATTATTTTTCATACCTCAGGATGTTCTTATTGCGATGAATTTTTAATAACTTCTCACATAATCCTAGCTATTTTTTTGCAACAGTGTTTGAGTCAGGGACCTTCTTTTATAGGATGGGATCCAAGAAAAGAAACTGGAACCTTTACCCAGCTTGCCTATGGGAGATGAGCCGTGTCTGTAGACCAAGGACAGGCCGAGCTGCACTACTTACTCAGGACAAGAAATGCTTTACCAAGGTGCTGTACAGTAACTCAAAAACTCAGCCTGTGGCATCTTTATGATCTTTTTTAAGTAGAACTGGGGATATTGGTTTCAGCAGGATTGTGCTCCTTTTCCTCAGTGTTTCTTATTTGCAGCTAAGACCCCTGGTTGGCCTAGAAGCAGGCAGGTCATAGAAGCTAATTACTTTTATGCATTTTGTATATACACAGGCATTATCTGGAATGGGACATGTATGGCAGAAGGTGCATACAGTCTGGGTGAACATAGGTGGTCTTCATGCTGCAGTTTACCTTCTGAAACGTACACCTCAAGCTTTTGTTCATCCTTCAGAACAAGATGGAGGAAGAGGAACTCCTTGGTAATGCAAAAATGAAGATGTTTATAGTATTTGTGCTTCCCGACCCTGGAAATGCCAGCATAAACTTATTTGAGAAAAATAGTATTAACAAAAGTGCAGTGTGCCCTGTTTAAATTGGTCTAAAGTTCTTTACCCTGGTTAGCAAAAGGTGTGAATGTACTATCATGGAATTGAGTCTTGTGAGAGAACTTTTCTTTGGAACTGTTGTGAAGAGGTAGCTGGGCAATTGGTACTTTTCTTAAAAAGCTTTGAAGATGCCAAGCCTACTAAAGTGCTCTGGGATTTGGGTTTAGAACATTTTCTTTTCAGGCTTCATACCAGTTCCTATTTTCCATTATAGCCACCCTGGCCTAATGCAAAGGCAGAGAATATAATCGTAGCATCTTAGGCAACCCAGATATTGCCTGTGTAGCTTTGCTATTTAGTTGTTCAAGTTCTCTTTACCTCAACCTTAAAAAAATGAAGCATTATTACATGTTGTGAAATAGTGTTTGCCTCATGACAAGATGAAGTCTCACAAGACCTATAGGAAAGTTTGACATCTGCCTTAATAATTAAAATATGCATCTGTTATTCAGGTTAATACATAGAAGAGGACTAGGATTTAGCAAAGGAATTAAAAAATACATTTTTATTTGTAAATAGCAGCAAATACATTGATAGAGGAAGTATGGGACCAACAAGTAAAATTTAAAGAAATTTTATTTTTCTTTCCATACACAAAAGCGGTATTGCTTATCAAAGTCAAACATAAGCTTGTCAATATTTTTGGTTTCTTAAAAGTACTGATGTATCTTTGAATTAAAAACTTCATCTAAGTTCTTGATTGTTTTCTTTTGGGTGACTATCCACATTTGGATGTTCTTCTAGTTGCAGAAAGGCCCTCATGAGATAGTGGAAAATAAAATGATCTCAACACAGTATTAAGTCCTTGTGAAAAATGGTGCTTCCTTTTTCACAGTACTTGGGGTTTTATGTGGAGTTCTTTAAAGTGTTCAGTTTATTTTATAGTTCCTGGCTGCATTAAGCTTAGATTTTCAGTGTCATATTAGGTAATATAATGTACTACTCATATTTTTTGATGTCTCACATTTAGAATAAAAGGACATAATACTTCTTTGAAAGAATCACGTTCACATCAGTATATCCAATATTCCTATTCTGGTTTTCTCTGATATACTACCTCATACTTGAGAATGAGTGTTTTATATCCTAGCCTGGAGTTTTTACCATCATCAGAATGTAGTTGTATTTTGGGTTCAAAACATTAAACAACTTTTCACCTAACAAAAAACCCATTTAAACTTCCAAATGTTAGTGTAGTTCACAGAAATGCGAAGTATAGGGACCACATCCATTTACACACACCACTGTTTAGCAAGTGCTCAGTATAGTACCTTCCAGAGTAGACATTTAGTATTTGTTGAACAAATGAATATTTTTGCATATTGGCTTAGTTTTTAAGTATAACAAATCTGCGCCTGGCCCATCATAGCTATAATCTTAAACACTACTGTAAAAACATGACCAGATTTAAGATGATGTAAATATGTAGAGAGCATTATCTGCGAGTTAGAAGTCTTTCTTCCCTAGTATTGTTTTGTAATCTGGTGACAGGAACAGGAAATAGGTTATCAGGAAGAGCTGGGATTGAATTATATATGACACTGCCACTTAACTCATTGTGACCTTGGTTTTTAACCTCTCAAGTGGGCCTCCTACACCATAGGAATGTGAAAAGATGGGAAGGTAATTGTAATAATCTGAACACAAAATGAGTCAATTATGATCCAGACATTCTGTTACTGGGAGTCAACAACATAGAGATTTTATAAATTAAGTGAAAAGAAGACGATTATCTCCTAGAGACTAACAATGTAGTAGTGATGAGAAAGGGAAATAACACTTATTTTAAAATGGCAGTTAAGACTTTCCAGAAACTGCCAAAACTACAGATTCTAGCATATCAGTGTCAGATATAGTTCAGCTCTACAGTACAAGAACTAAAAGGTAAGTGAAAACTGGGGAGGCGGGGGGGGGGTAGTATTTTGAAAGGCCTGTAGAGTAACTTAAAATAAAACATCTTTCTTCTCAGCATAGCATTTTCCAAAAATTTCAGGTGAGGTGTTATGTAGGAATTTCAGTGGGGATATAATAAAAGTTTGAATATTCTAAGGGAAAAAAGATCACACTTAATTGTGCCCGTGTACATTTTTTATTAAAGAGAAAAATATACAGGTCTCCCATGCCAAATTTTTTAAATGTGCACACTATGGGAAAAATATATCCTTGTTTAAAGAGGCCTATCACCCTTATACTTTTGCATCAACGCTAACATGTTTGCTAATCAGTTGTGAAGCTGTGGCTATTCAATGATATATTCTACGATAAAAGCAATTTTCACTGGAAAGGAAAATGGTATTAGTTTTTCTCATGACCAAATTCTAAATTTCCAACTGCCTGCTATTGTGATCATTGTGTGTCCCACCTCAAACTCAACATGAACATACCTTTCTCCACTAAAACCTGCTAACATACCCATTCTCCCAGTCATCCAGCCTGAATACTGAGTCTTTTTTTTTTTTTTACTCCATCCAATTATTTCAATAGGCATCTGATATTTTACATTGTGGTAGAACAACTGTTTCTCAAACTTTGGTCTCCGGACCACTTCTTACCATATTAGAAATTAAAACAAAAAAATTAGTAACAAATGCACTACATTAACATTTTCATGGAAGTATTTTCAAGAATGAATTATTTTACATTTTTTGCAATTTGGTTCTCTCAAATGTCTTATTTATTGCTTTTAGAGTGGAAGAGAAACATCAGTTTGTTGTTCCACTTGTTTATGCATTCTTTGGCTGATTCTTGGGTCAAATGCCTGCCTTAAAAGAAGGCAGCTGGATTTTTATCTTTCCTCAAGCAGTTGCTTGAGATGTTAAGTATTTGCAATTTTCTCTAATTTCATATATTGATCATTTGGAAAATATTGGTGTACTTAGTAATACAAATCTCAAATGTTGACCCAGTTCTTTACATATCTAAAAATCATCAGTATCACTACCTATATCATAACAAGCATAAACACTGGAAAAATGCCAAGCTCCCTGACAGTGGACTCAAGTTTTCTAAAAATTTTAATTTTCATTTCAACGTTAGAATTTTACTATTAACATCATTCAGCCCTGGCTGGGAAAGGCTCACCAGTTCAATTTCCAGTCAGGGCACATGCCTGGGTTGCAGGTCCCCAGTAGGGAGTGCATGAGAGGCAACCACCCATTGTTTCCCTACCTTTCTCCTTCCCTTCCCCTCTAAAAATAAATATTCAGTTGTTTTCCTTGAAAGGCTCACTTCCTTTATATTCAAAAAAAGTCTGCCAAATAGTCTCCTCTGACAACCAAAATACGGTAGTTGTTCTTTCCCATTAAAAATGGTGTTCCGAGAAAATAGTATTTAATTCAACTGGCAACTCAACTGCACAACCATTGTTATGTATGCATGTAGGAGTACTACATGCAACTATTCCATTTCATCACTCAGATTAAAGTTATGTACTCAGGGCTCAGATATAAAAAAATTCCTGTTTTCACACAGGTACGAAGTAAAACTGCTCCTTCTTCCCTCTGGGTGTGTACTGCAAATGCATGGCACAGGAGAATGACTACTACAGTTTTGTGCCTCTGCCTTGATTTATGCTAAGATGCCAGCAGTTTTCCCACCTCTGCCTTTTCACCATTAGTAAAGGTATCAGGATAAACCATATTTTAAAATGTTATTCAACATTTTGACTACTTTGAGACATCTTTTGTTGCCAAGCTTTCACTTAAAAATCTCATTAGTTGACACTAGTGCAAGACAATTACAGGGTGGGGCAAAAGTAATTTATACTTGTGAGTACACAAAACATTTTATTCTTGTATTTATACTTCATTTGTATTATTTCCCATACGAACTATAAACCTACTTCTGTCCTACATTGTACAAAATAACAAGCCCATCATTTGTAGTTTGATCCATTGTAAGGCAAACATACACTTCTACAAAGGTATTAACAGATTTCATGTCTGCATATAAGTCTTTAATATGACAAGTTACTATATTATTAAAAAGTGGCACTATGATTTACTTTTCATCCAGCATTCAGCAGTGTTAAATGTACATGGCTTTTTGTAGTTTCTCAGCTATTCTGTTTCTCCAGCCAATGTCATACAATAACTTATTTCAGTAGCTTTTTCTCCTGATTTCTTTGAAGTTGATTCTTCCTATAACAGAACTCTGCAATACCTTTTTAGCATTTTTAGACATAAGCTGTGGGTTGAACAGGTAATCGTGTAATCTTTTAAGAAAATGATCCAGTCTTAAATAAGAAAAATATAAATTGATTTCTAAGTTACTGAATTCTAAAATAAGTTGTAATTAAATTTAGAAGTTTTGAGCAAATATTTAAAGCACATGACTGCATAACAAGGCAACAGGATGTACTTTTATGTCTATGCTTAGGCACAAAGGAAACAATTTTATATTAACAATTGTACAATATTGAGGGTTGCTGGGATTATAGAAGGTATAACCTAAAAAGTGAGTTAATTCCTAAAAACAAATATTTGTACCCTAAACCTACCACCTCAGGAAATTCTAGGAAATTCAAGAATGCATATACACCCTTCAATTAACACCAACATCACGTAGCCTTTGCACACTTCTGCAAAAGGGAAACAGCTTAGTATTATGAAAATAGTTTTACCTCAAAGACCTCCCTATGCTTAGGCAATAGGGAAACAGCCATAATACAAGGTCTGTCCAAAAAGTATCAAGCCATGTACTACGGAAAAGAAACCTTTATTTTAAAGGATGATACAAGAAACATTATACATAAGACAGTAACACCTCAGTCCTCTTGAAAGTAGGCACCTTGGGACCTCATACAATTCCCCGATCTTTGTTGATTGCAGCCTCTACACATTCAATATTCTCAGGCGTTCAGCCTTCCAGAACATGGATCATTTTCAAAACATTCTCAACCAACCATCTTTGAAGTATTTATGCCATACTTTTATTTGCACTGCACTAACTGCATCACCCCCAAAAGCCTTCTGAATAACCCAAACAGTTTCCATGCAGGAATGTTCAAGCTTAACACAAAATTTGATGCAGATTTGTTGCTTTACTGTCTTTTAATGTAACATCCACACAGCACACATGCTCACTCAACACCTACCACCCCCACTGACTAGTACAGTGAAGTCGTTATTGTTCACACATGCGTATTCCAGTCCACTCTCCTTGGCTGTCAGGTTACAGTGATGCCGCATGAACTGTTCTCGTTATATTAAAAACGGTTGCACTTTTTCTGGACAGACATCGTTACAAGTACTGTCCTGCCCTCAAGGAGCAACCTAAAAAGTAAAAACAGAACAATTACTCAATTACTAATTTATAATTACAACTGTGATAGATGCTATGACAACTCAAGTGGAGGACCCAATGTAGCAGAGGAGAAGGCACCAAGCAAGACTTCCTCAAGAAGTGATTGATGTGTTGAGACTATCCTCCCTCCCTCTCAGTGACTTGGTCAGTTATCGAGTCCTTTAACTTCTTTTCCATTTTGGTTGCCATTGCTTTACCAGATCTCATCAATTCACGCCTGGACTACTGTGAAAGAAACTCGTAAATGATCTCTCTGCCTTCAAACTTCTCCATTCCTACAATCCTATATCCTGCAGCCAGATTAAATTTCTTAAAAGGCTGTTTCCATTAGAGAAAGCAGTACCACAAGCTGGTAAGGAACACTAACTTACGTAATTCAGATCAGAGT